CATATTTTCTTGCACAGCAGGTCCTGTGGATTATTGACCGGCTCCTTGTCCCCGGGCTCTCTGTTCCCACAGCCTTGCACAGGCCTGTCTTTTGGGGGGAGCTTGTGGATGGACAGGCTCTTCTTCAGCTTCTGATCCTGTCTGGAGGAAAGCCAGTCTAGGCCTCCTCCTCTCACATCCCCTCTGCTTCTCTGAAGTTTCTTCCCTGTTCTGCCTGATTGGGGGAAGTTTCTGTTTATTCTCCCACTTGTTCTGTTTCCTGGCTGCAAGGTCTATATGGTCTATATGGTAGGGGATTATGGTAGGGGATTCTGGCCTCACCTGGATGGTAAGACTGTGTCTGTCTCCTGGACACATCCTGCTGTCTCTGATGGCTGTAGCCTTGGGATCCACAGCAAATCCTTCCGTTTCCTTCTGGAAACCTGGACGCTCTGACTATCTCTCCCTCCTCCCTGTTCCTTTTCCAGGAGTCCTGTGGAGGTGTAAAGGGGAGGGAGTGTGGATGCGAATCCCTCCTGTCTCTCCTCATATCCTCAGTCCTCTGATGGGGCTGGGAATATAAAGCAGGGCGACTCTCGAATCTTGTAGAAGAGGAGATTTTCCTCTCTCTCCAGACTGTCTCCTGATGGTAGTGGCTGGTTGTCAGAGCTAAGAGGGTCGTATAACTTTGTTGGCTGTTTGTTTTTCTGTCTTGTCTCACTGGGCTGTCTCTTCCTTTGAGGGAAGGGCTCCCAGGCTCTGGGAAAGTTGATTTTGGTCTCAGTTTAAGAATTTATCTCCCCTGCACAGCTCTCTGTTTGAGATGAAATGTTGTTCTCTGCAATAAGGGAATTCTTCTCCGTCTCCAGAAGTTTCTGCATTTCTGCAGGGGCATTGCCTTCATCCTCATCAGCTGCGTTCATCATGCTTCCAGCCACCCTCTCATGCCTGTGAGGACTATGCTTCTCTCTTTCTCTCCATCTGCCTTTACAGCTCCTGGGCTTCAGGCTCTCTGTCACCTTTTCCTTTTTCTTTGTCCTCTTTGTGTTTTCTCTTTCCTTCCTCCTTTATGCTGCTTGGGACGTTCGACTGTTCATCTTTATTGTCCTCAATCTGAGTGACCGTTCCTCTCTCTTCTTTTTGTTCACTGATGGTGTCCATTTTCACTTCTTCATTCATCGTAACCTGCTCTCTATTCATTGTCAATGTGTCTGATGTGATTGTGTCTTTTGTCTCTTCCTCTGTCTTTACAGTGTCTGTGGTCAGTCCATTGTGCTTAAGAGTGTCCTCCATCAGCTGATGTTTCTGGCTGGCTTGCCAGTGAAATTCATGACATCAGCAGAAGCATAACAGTGACTTGTTTTGTGATGACAGTTATGAACTTTGAATAAAAAATTAATGTACATGTGCACATTTAAGAATCAAATTGATTCAATTAAATGTGGTATTGTATTGTTATACACATATCGATACCCTTCATTTCCTGCTTTGTGATTTTTTTTGCTTTGTTAATGTATTGTCACGCCCTCTGCAGCCAGAGGGTGCTCCTACTCTCTCCTGTCCCTAGTTTGCTACTTTGCTGTCCTCCCGGTTTCCCTCTTTCCTTGGACTATATATTTCCGGTCACTTATTCTGCCTCACTTGGCATTGACGTTCGGATGTCCTGAGACCCCCCTAGCACCAGGTCGCCGCTCTGTCCATGGCCTGAGGGCATAGGTTTCTATACGGCACTCCAGAACTCTTTGCACTGTCGAGCCCGGGCTAACTCCCCGTTTTCGCTCTCCTGCCTCTCCACAGTTTGTCCCTCCCGACATCCGTGACATGTATGATCTTGATTTGTTTTTTTGCCCCATTTGATCAGTGCGATACCTGATTTTCTCTTGTTAAATGTAGATTTTCATTCTCTAGTATTGTGCTTTTCTTCTGAACACAGGAGTATAATTCCATAGTCTGCTCAGTTTTTCTGGATTTTCCAGCACTTGCTCCTGGTGGAGAAATGTTGAAAGGTATCTGTACGTCACTGACTGCAGAGCTGCAGGACCTGGTGTCCACTACCAGTGCAGGCCAGTAGCTTGAGTCTTTCCAGGGGGCCTTTTGTTCTTGTACCTAATATTGTTTAACACAGAAATAGAGAATTAATCATCTAGAGAAGATTAGTTTATTACAGTTATATTGCTAATGCATCAATTGATTGAGGCAATGATAGAATCAAATGCAAGACATTCCCAACCGTAACTCACTTCAAAATTTGTTCTAATTTGTATTGTTAAAAATTGGCCAACGAGAAATAACTCAGTTTGCAATTTTTCTATAATTTATAGCTCATATTTCAGTGGCTGGTGCCATCAGCTGAATCAGACGATAAAAGGGCCAAGTTAAGCTTCACTGCAGTGATGTTTTCATGTGGCAAACAATCCTCAAAATTGTAGTATCATATTATATAATGTATAATATATATATAGTTATAGTATACGTTGAGTATTGTTTTTATTAAATGGGCTGCAGTAATTATGTCGTTGAAAGTCCATCATCCAGGCCTGATAGAAGAAAGCTTCTTCCTTTCTAGGTGATCTTAGAATTTTACAGTGTAATAATGAGCTTTACTAGTGAACTTCCAACCAGGGTCATTTTTCTAGATCAAACTTTCCTCTTGAACTTTGTAGTTTGTTTCAGAAGACAAATGTGAGCTTCTTGTTGGTTTGGGGATGTATTGCAAGTGAGGGAAGAGCAAACTGTCTTATCAGCGGAGTTATATGGATGTGCTGTTGGATATCACTATGTGTTGTTCAGTTGCATTCACTGCACCTTGCAGACCAGAGCAATCCTGAACTTTTAAAACAAAATGTTTTCATATTGGGTGGACTTTTATTCCAGAGTAGGCATAACACAGTTAATGTATTTTGTGGCTTGCAAAGAAATGAGATGTATTGCTCATGCTACACTGTTTTGTAGACCTAGACTTCTGAAAAAATGCAAAAACTGACCTTTTAAAGGACTGAAAGTGATGAAATTCTACTGTATACAGTGTAAAAAGTAACAAGAAATCTTGTTGAACATATCAAGGACAGTATGATAAGATTTGACTGCATTATTACAGACCAAGATTGATTAATCCCTTGAATTTATGTTATGCTTTACTATCAGTAGCTATTACTATTAATAGCTAACTGAGTTGAGGACCTCCATTTCTTCAAAGGTATAATGGCATCAACCTCAGTTGCAGGGTTTGGCACTTTGTTCCTGGTAGAGATTTCTGAAGAGATGTAAGGCAACAGTATTTTCCCAAAATACCTTAAGAAAACAAAACTATACATTCTTATATACAAACCAGATGAATTCACAGATTACAAAACATATGGATACAGAATGCCCCCTACCCACGTTCTATGACACAGACTTACTGTAAGAGCCCACGCTATAACAGTGTATGAATATTGGCAGAAGGAATTACTCAATGGGTTTTTCCTATCACCTAGAAGCTTCATCCACTTCTACAGACATTGTAAGGTCCTACATAATGTTGGTCATATTTTCATATTGAAGAAAACACAATACTAAGAGACAAACCTCCGCTGTGCCTATAAATCTCTGGAACTGTTACTGTTCATGTATTAGATTAAGTCTACAAAAATATCCTTGATGTGTGGGTCCAGAACCTGACAACACTGTCTTTGGGCCTTTTGTTGGAGCACATCAAAGCAGCATCTTTATTACAAGTCCTGTAGTTTTGCCTTGTCTTGAGAGTCACCTTAGGACAAAATTGTTGGGATGTCATGATGACACTTGCAACAAAGCCAAGGTGTGTTATGGAATTGTAGGGGTGTCAAAGGATAAGACGTCTATTTCTCTGATGAAGCAAGGTTTATTCTGAAATTGTATATTGATATACAAGGAGAGCAATTTGCACAGAGTTATATTGTCAAATGAGAATGGCATGGTGGAGGTAAGAGATATGGCAGGGAGTACAATTAATGCTCAAAGTTGTTGTTATATACAGATGCAGCCATTCAAAATGCGTGGTACAAACCCGTACCGCATGCAACTACCCACAAGCTACTGTGTTGTACCGGTACATGATTGCTTGCCCAAATGACTGACAGGGGCACTCGTGGTGCATTGGTCGTTAGTGAAAAGATTTAATCATTTAATCTCTTTACTGTGAACATTTTAATCCGCTTAGTATTGAATATTTATTTGGAATTTTACAACTAAAGGGACATATTAGTAGCTGAGCATAAAACGAAGAGGAGTATAAGATGTCTGATGATCATAAAGGATATTAATTTAGGAACATACACATATTATGTAAACTGTACAGTATATGGCTGGTATTGGTAGTTTGAAGAAAAAATACACACCAGTATTCCACTTTTTTCCTAAACATTTTCAGCATCGAAGTCTTATGTGGTTATTTCGTGCTCCTTCTGACCATCTTAAGTTTATATACTTTGTGTAAGGTACTAATGTTTTAACCTTTTCTGCAAATACATGACACAGTCAAAACAGACCACATCTCCTCATTCTCCATTCTAACAACCAGGGCCAGCAGAGGTGAGAACACCTGGATGCACATTAGATTTATTGAAACCACAGCTATAAGAGCTGGTATGGTACATATGGCCCCAGTCATACTATTATTGTTTCTAGATAAAAAAGCTACACCTTCTCTGCACTAAAATGTTCTGTATTTAATTGGAAGTATTAGCATAACATTTCACATCAACACAAAAGAGTCTTAGTGTAATAATATGGCTTTTTATTATTTGTCTCTTGACAAGCAGTGACTTTGCAACATATTACAAGAATTCTGTATATTATGCATTACTGTAGGTTTTTTTTTCTTACAAAATTTCTTATAGTACTTTGTATTTATTAGGGAACTCTGGTAATGTATCAGCACTCTAAAACACACTACATTTTGATAAGCTTTTGTTACTACACTTTTTTTATTACACACTGCAACAATAATATATACTACTAATAATAATATTCTAACAATAATTTACATAATATAAATAATACATGTGTGCATTTTGTTATTTCCTTTAATATATAGATATAGATATTCAAATCTCTCAATATGTTAAACAGCTTCCTCTTCTGGGAAAAAGTCTAATTCTAATCAAAATTTAATCTGTTCCAGAAGAGCTGGTCTTAGATGATGATGATGGATTATCAATTACCCTGCGAGTCTGGCATTTAAAAGCAAAGAGCCTATGATTCCTGAATGCTGAGAAGTAGATGAAGGGATCGAAGAAGAAGCTCAGGTTCATCACAGATATTGTACTTTGCAGGTACACCTTGAAAGTCTGATGGGTGTCACAGGCAACAGGTCCCCTAAGTACTTTTACCATGTGCTGGGCCAGATTGACATGGTAAGGGGTGTAACAGAGGCAGAATCCGAGCAGCACCACTACAATGATTCGGAGAGACTTTCTGTGGAATCTGCCAGGCTTATTCCTTACAGGATTTTTCCAAAACATCTGGCACACTTTCACCCCCACACACCAGTAACAGAAAAACAGGATGAGGAGAGGCAAACAATATGACACCAAGCATGAAATCAGCACTTTTCCAGGTAAACCAGGGTTGTTTTGAAGAGTGGAGTACTCCATGCACAGTTCATCAGTGCCGTTTTTGACATACAGGTTAGGTAGGAACATAGTGATGCTGTTCACAGCACAGGTAAAGATCCAGACGAAGATACAGATCCCTTTAGCGAATGACACATTCCTGAAGCGCTGCAATGTAATTGGATGCATCACAGCAATGTAGCGGTCAACACTGAGACACACCATGAAGTTTATGCCCGAGTAGATGTTGAGGTAAAAGAGATACCCAGATATTCTACACACAGCTTCGCCGAGCTTCCATCGGAACCCCATGGCAAAATAAACTATTCTCAGTGGCAAAAGAAAGGCAAAGAAAAAATCAGCCATAGTTAGGTTGATGAGGTAAAGCAGCGAGGAGGTGATCTTCTCCTTTCTTTTGTGGATGCTGTACAATGCCAGACCATTCAGAGATACTCCAGCAATGCAAAGAACAGTGTAAAATATACTGAACCAGACTGAGAACTCCTTCTTGTACTGGAAATTAGGGCATGAGCTATTGCTGAACATCATCTGTTCTGAGAGCTCCATTGTTTGTCACAGCTCTATAAAACAAAAACTATATCAGTGTATGACAGTATATACGTTTTACTTGAAAAAAGGGTTTATACAGTATTAAAAAACTTGCTCAACTTTTCTTAACTTCAAATAAGCTCCAGGTAATTTAATAAAAACAATCAGTTATTAAATGTACCTTACAACATCTGTAAAAGCTACAGTATATCTTTGTGGCAGAAAACATGAAAGTACTAATTAACTTTATAATCACATTTCTTGCTGATCATTTTTCATATACAGTCATAAAACGTAGCATGTTACTAAACTTTCAAAGTATATTTACTGCATTTTAGATACAAAATCCAGCAAATCATACAAACAGGTACAGTAACTAGATCCCTGATGGCCGTAGATGCTAAGCAAATGAGACGATCTGCGTGTTATGAATATACTGGTATGAAAACAAAGGGAAAACCAAATTCCTGACTAAATCAAGTTTATCTCATAAGGAAACACGAACTAAAGTCCTCTCTCCAAAAAATATTTCAAGCCATTTAATCACTGCTTCTTCAAATTCAGGCTTGAGGGGAGCCGGAGGCCAGGCAAGCAACAGGCGCAAGGGTAGGACACACCCTGGATAGGACACCAGTCCATGGCAGGACACACACAGACACAGACACAGCCAGTCCCACTGGGGCCAGTTTTCCCAGAAACCAACTAACCTACCAGTATGTGTTTGGCACATGGGGAGAACATACAAACGACAGTACATGCAGATAACATCCCAGGTCCAGAACTGAACACAGGACTCCTGTGCTGTGAGGCAGCAATACTAACCACTGCAATCCTGCCCAAAATGTGCTGTAAATTGTTGTTTCTGTTCGCTTCAAGGGGGGTTGATGATAGTTGCTATTGAACATGTGATTTTAAACCATGCTGTGCAGGCGTCTTGGACAAAATCAGCATTTACAATATATCTTTGTTTTGAGTACTATTTACACAGTCTCCACAAGTGATTTCTACTATTATAACAACTTTGACTGTTTTTAGAGCAGAGTATTGTGGTTCAGAAGAACCTACGTTTGTTATTTAGTACTATTAAATTCACATTGTTCAAAATCTTCACAGACTTTATCACAACAACTCAAGGTAAAAAAATTACAAGTAGTCAACATAAAATGTTGCATAACTAATTCATTACATTTACCATCCACATCTAAGGGACTTATTGTCAGGTGTTTCATGTCATTAACACCTGCTTTTACTCTCTGTTAAACTAAAAGACTATGACACACTGTAAAATGCGGATCTACAGTAACAGTATCAACCATTCTGATAAATATTCCAGAAGGAACCAGGGAAAGCAACAGTTCCAAAGGGAATTGTGTGATGGTAGATTATTTAAATACAATGTTCTTGAAATATGTTGAAACAGAATTTCAACAGGTCATTTTTCAGTTATTTTGTGGAAGATAACATTTGCGAAGCCTCCATTAGATTGAATGGAAACATTACTTCATCATAACACCTTAAGTCAACTGCTGAAGGCAAAATATAAAATTAAAAATAACACTTTTCTCAGTGAGAGGCCCTTTGAATTTTACTGTGCTCTTTGAAAATATTTGGAGATGTAAAGCATCGCTCCAATCTCTTTTTTAACCCCAGTATGTAACAAAAAAAGTGTTTCCCCACAGGATTTAATTTAGTATTAAAACAATTATACCAATCTTAAGCACAAACAAATAATATTTTTGAAGACTTTCTATGTATATGAAGTATACCCGGACCAAACTAAGCAAGTTTCTAAGAGCACACCTTTGAAACATATAAGAATGAGTTAAGTTGGTTATTTATTTTCTTAGGCATACAATAAAATCTTCCTTAAAGTTTTAAGATCCAATATCATTAATATACAGTATATATATTAATAGATTTCTTCTATATTATTCCAACTTAAATGCATTTTTTAAGCATTAAATTAAAGGTAATCACTCACATTTTCCTCCTCCTTAAAGTGGCGGATCGTCTTCAGCTCTTAATTATTACAGTGCTATAAAATGAATGGATATGACAATGTGTTACAGTATGTCTGAAGTATTTCTGATCCTTTGCAGTCTTTTTCATGTACATTGAATCTTCTATGACTCCACCCATATAACACGTTTGCCAGCCCACCTAAGAGTCTTTGAAAAGGAGTTGAAAAATAAATTCAGTAGTAGCTTCCTCCTAAAAAGTACTTAAATGTCCCTCTCTGAATATTATGAAAACGTCTACTTTTAAACAAAACAAGAACCTAAAGCGGTAGGATATGTGTTGGAAAAAGACAACATGCCGTATTATTAATAAAAATAATCTAACAAGCAAAATGCTGAAAAAAGACTGTGTGATGCTGTTTTCATTTTGTGTAGTTTTGTTGTTTTCTATGACATTTGATATAATTGGTGTTTTAATGCATTTTCTCTGAGATTAATTTGTAAAACTATATTAAAATAAGGTCAGACTGTAATATCCAGAGCTAATGATTCAAATGAGTACAACCAGTGTCTTCTGAATGGCTGGCTTTTTCGACAGGGAAAAAGAAGCACAGAACCATTTTATCTGTAATTCTTATATTGAAATATATTATTTCAAAATTGAAATTTTGTAGATGTATAGCAAAATGAACAAAATGGATATTAAACTGACCAGAGCAAAAATGAAAAAAAAATTTAAAAAGTTTTAAAATCCCTGAATCTGCTATGTAAAGTAATAGCCAGGAGTAGATATGACAGGTTAGACTCTCTGACAACAACAAAAGAGTTGCACACATTTGTACAGGACACAGTACAAGCATACAAAAACCACTGTCAAGGGAAAATAACTTCTAAGCACATTATGCTAAAATATGGTTATAAAAGTTACAGAAAATGATGCCCAGGCAAATCAGAATTAGAGCACATCAGCCACATGAAGAACAAATTGATTTGCATCAAGGCTACTGTAATAGTTTATGAAAAATGGCAGAGCCAGCAAAAGGAAATAGTTCTGTGTAAAACCAGCCATTCCAAGAAATTAGTTCACATTATACTGTATACAGTATGTACTGTAGCCATGTACAGTATGTGTCCATTGCATTATTAAAAACTAGATAATATGATAAATACAGTGCAGTCTCAACCATTTTAATTTAGGTGCCATAGTACTGTATAATTGTCAGTGCAAAAAAAACAACTTCACTGCTCAGGCTGAAAAGGGCTTTGATTCCTTTTCCAGAACCTCTGTTGATCCATTTTTTAACCACTTTGTCCAATACAGGGTCACGGGGGAGCTGGACCCTTTTCCTGGTGGGTTATGGCCACAAAGTGGGAAACACCCTGATTGGGACACCAGTCCACACACAGACACACTCACACAAGGGGCCAAGTTTCCTACAGTAGAACCCGATTAGCCTAACAATTTAGCTCTATCTTGAACTGTGAGAGGAAACTAAAAAAGCTGGAAGAAACCCACACAGACGCAGGGAGAACATACAAACTCCACGCAGATAGCACCCTAGGAATTCCCAAGCACTGCGAGGCAGTGATGCTGACCACTGAACCATCAGCCACCCTTCAAGGACTTTGTGAATATGGACTCAGACAAAAGACAAAACACAACCTTTCTCCATTTTGTACACTTGAGTCCTGTTCAGCATGTCTTTGTGCATTACAGTTGCTGTCCCATTTTGTCATTTCCAATTCAAAAGGGAATTCTCTTTACAAGGTCTTTTGCATTAACCATTTCGCATGATTGCAGTTGTTGTATTTGAAAACTCTCCTTTGCTCTCCTATATTTGATAATTTTCCGCTGATACTGGTGCAAGTTTTCAGTTTGTTGGTTTGAAACAGAGAGTGCAGATAGAACAGAGTACTTGGGTACTCAGTTTCGTTTGTGGCTTCACAGGTTTTGCCTGGTCATCTTTTTTTTACCTGTTTTTAACAGCAATCTTTACAGCTAGGGAGCTGTGCAATTTTCCTGTTACAGTATGTTATGTATTTAAGGGTCATTAGCTGCAATCATAAACAGGCCATTCAGACAACAATGAATTTCACATCCAAAGGCTATCCCGAGTTACTCTAATTAAGAACTTTTTTGCAGTTGTTAAGAGCCCCACAGACCCATTGTTTTGTAATTGAAACACTAATACGGACAAATGTCCCAATATTACTCAACGAAGTTCAATGCATGTTGCATGCTTTTCTCATCCTCAGTCTGGGGATGTTTTACATATTGTAGCTTGCAGTGGTTGTCTCATCTGCTTGCATTGCTTCAGCCAAGTTGTAATCTTCACAAGATTTCAATAGCATTCCTAAATACCCCTGGAAATCAATACTATTGGTACAAATTCCTCTAGGACCTTCACTGAAATAATGCATTATTTTGTGGCAATTATACAAAACGGGAGTCACCTAGACCAGACCCTCCATCATAGTGTGTATTAATCCTGCGAGCAGTCTTGACATATTGTTTGCACCTAACTTTCCATTTGCTGTCTCCTCTGCAGGAAGGAAATCTAGAAACCCCCCCTCACTTTTTTCTCCGTATCACAAACTGTTAAATGCACAAAGTCAGGTGTTTGCTTGGTTTTTTTCTTCTGAGACCAGCACCTCCATTTCATCTATTCCTCAAGCCTTCCTGTCTGGCCCCCGGCTGTGTAGTGAGAACCTGACCTTCTAGAAGCTTTTCTGTTGTGCCGTTCGAAGGCCACATTATTTGTATACTTTTCTCGCCAGTCAAAGATCTTTCCACAGTTATCTCCCAGCAGTGATTCCAGTTCCTGAGACACAAAAGCATGCATCAGCCAGTGGCTCTCCTACAAAATACCTTTGATGTAGGTGACTTGGTCAACTAAACATTTTTCAATGCTGCAGATCTGTCTTTTATTTCAGAGTTGAGGCTTACCTTACTCATTTGAATTGCACCTTATTATTTATGCAATTGTTTTAATTGCACAGATTAATTTTAAGCTTTGCATTTCACTGTGTAGGTAATTTAGTTTGATATGTTTAGCGGTACCAACATTTTAAATATGTATTTACTATTGCTTAAGCTTGTATCTTTCATCGAGAAGTGCACGCAGATCTCTTTCCAGCAGACATATTTGTCTGACTTCACGCACAGCTCCTTGCTTTTCATATTTGTGGTTTGTTAGCAATGCTGAGAATAGAGCTCTTATCACATTTCATAAGCAGCACTTGTGAACCACAGAACTACAGTCAAAGTTGGTCAAACATAGGAAAATAATCTAATAATACTAATGTTTTTTAATATACTGCATGATTGACTTTTACAGGTGTTTGGCTAGAAAACTGGAAACCAGGTCCCATAAAGTAAATAAATATATTTTAGATTTGGATTTGTAATTTTTGCCGACCTTGTTCACTTATAAAAGTGCTCAATTGACCATTCAAGCTTTGAATATTTACTTAAAATATGTTTACACCTGTAATTCAACAAATCTTTTTACAAGGCACTGTAGTTAAAGGTTTAAAGTTTTAATCAAGCAGAATTAAAATTGTATGATGCACTGGTAAAACCTTCTTTTGAATATGTGTAATATTCAAGAACATACTTTTATAAATGAGAAGAGGTGTCATTTGGTTGCTAATAGCTAATACATCTAAGGATCTCACCTGCCCAAGTCTTAAAGGTTGTCAGCTTTGCAATGAATCAGTTGGTAGAATGTCAAGATGAGCCTAAATGTGTTCTCTTTTTTCTCTTTTATTTTTTATGGCCTTGTTCCTTTCTAAAGGTTGTTAGGACATGTCTAATCTTTTTCTGTATGTGACTGAGAAAAGAGACCCAGGTGTTGCTAGTTACTTTGGATACGGCAGATATACTTTACTCCCATCACACTCCAATAACATCTTGCTGGGAATCAGATGGAAGGACCTGTATTTCCACAAGAGCCCTGTATCAGCTGATGATCTTTGTGGGATTTTGAGCATCAACCGATAGATCATCAGAGGATAGTCTGTGCAAAAGTGAAAGATGTGAAAGATGACCATTTTGGATTCTGTGAGGGGGAGACTTGCTCTGATTACAGTTCGCTACAGAAAGAGCAGTTCTTGTTACTTACAGGTACAGTATGTTTGTTTTTTTAAATACCAGACTCTCCGACGGCAAACTTTCGAGATACCGAATGACGATACTCTATGGCCTAGCTCTTTTTACATACAGCTGGCCATTAAGTTCACCACCTGCCTCTGATATCATACTATCTCTGTTTGATAATCCTTGGAATCTTAAAGACACATAAGCCCAGGAGCATTTATTACTTCCAGCTTTCTGAAAATCATTTGGTAGGAAAAAACAAATGAGTCAATGGCTTAGAACGTTTATGTTTCCAATACTTTGTTTTGTTACTTTCTTTAGTCACGTTCATTATCGTTACAATACATACCTGGATTCACATCCTTGTGGCAGAAGGAAAATCTGAATAACAGGTGAAACCACTATTGCAGATTGTGGCTTGTGTGACAGTGCAGGAATCACAAAATGTCACAGATACAGTATATAGTGAGCACCACATGCCAACACTGTTGCTGACTACACCACCAATCAATTTAAAGGTGCTAGGATCCTTCTCCTCGTACAGTATCTCCCAGAACTACCAGCACAAGACAGTTGTCCTACATAAGTGCCATTCATGTTGTACATACATTTTCTAACTGCTTCTTCCAATTTAAGGTCATGGAGGAGCTGGAGCCTAACCTGGCAAGCAATGGGTGCAGGGCAGGATACACCCTGGATGGGACATCAGTCTATCGCAGGGCAGACTCAGACACGCACACAGTCACATCAGGGCCAATTTTCCCAGATGCAAGTTAACCAAACAGTATATTTTTGGCCTGTAGGAGGAAAAAAAAAAAGCACGGGAAGGAACATGGGGAGAGCATACAAACCCACACAGATAGCACCCCAGGTTCAGAACCGAATCCAGGGCAGCAAAACTAGCCCACGTGCCTCTGTACTGCCCGTTGCCTTATTTTATTCCTCTTAATATATTACAATGTATCACTATCTACACCTACATAGAGCACAAAACGTAGTCTCCAGGGACATGCACAACAACAGACAAAAGAACAGTCCCTAAAGAAAAATCACGTACTGTTACTCACCATTACTGAAATCATCACTGTCCTGTATCCTGGACCACGACCTGCTGCCACACCGAAGAAAGAACAAAACTCCTTGTAGGCCTTTGAATGCTCTGAGCATCCGCTTCAGTCCCGAAAACAATATGTCGCACTGTATTCTCCTACCCTGTGTCTTTACAACAAACACAGGGTAGGGAGAGGAGGGCGATGCCTGATCTTTCCTCTGCTGCTCTGTTTTGAGTCAGTCCCCTCCAGCTCTCAGTCTTCTCTTTTGTCTGGTTCTTCTCCAAACTGGCTGAGAATTCTATCCCCTCTTTTTCTGGCCCAGGTCCAGGAGTAGAATGAGGGCTGGGAGTGATCACCAAGAGCAGACAGACCTCGTGAATTCACCTGACTGAGGAACTGTCTGTATGTGGTTGCCCAGCTATCAGCTCTCAGTCCCCCCTGTCCCAGGTCTGATTTAACCTGTTCAACGCCCCTTCCCACAAGCTAATGTACGTTAATTAATGGGTGTCTAGGAAATCTTTGTTGTTTGTCAACTGCCATACTTTTTGTGCAGGGAAGGTATGGAGATCTTGATTAAAAAAGGAAAGCAGGCATCCTGACAGAAACACTGGCACACTTAAAGTTCACAGAGTGGCTTGAGGGCTACTTGCATATTGACAACAGTGTGAGAAGAAATGCAATGGAAAAGCTCTGATATATATATATACTCATATATATAAGTATACAGTATATACTGTATACTGACAAGTAAAGGAACAAGTAATAGGTTTATTCCATGCTGAAAAAAAGAAGAAAGAGAACACAATGTTTCGGCCGTGGAGCCTTCTTCAGGTGAGCACACTTACAGGACAAGTATATTAATATATGCTTGTCAGAGTTTGTAGCACATTCTGTGAATGTGGGCTGATGTATTTTTGTTCATGGTATAACTGTGAAGCATCTAGAACTTTAGTGTGATAAAAATGTATGACTTGTACATAGATAGATAGATATTGCACTTCACAGGATGAGGTGGCAAGGAAGCCAACAGGCTTAAGCCTGCACTGTTGCTGCACAGTCTGTCATCGACTGAAACTACTTGCAGTGCCTTTTTTTGCACAAGGATGAGGTTATTGTGGTCAGTCACACACAAAAAAATGAAAGAAGTGGATGCAGACAAAAATATTGATGCTACAACATGGCAGGGCTGTTTTATCACTTCAAATGCAAGCACCCTGCCTCTCCTCCTAGCTGACCCTTCTCCAACGTTAGTATGAGACATAGAATAGTTGGCTCAGCAGGCCCTTAGCTTTTGGAAAAAAATGTTCTCCTGCTGTTTTTAGTAATGTCACATACTGTAGATAAGGTTAATTTTACTCAGGTTAACTTGCCTTGTCCTGTAAAGCACTTTAATCCATACAATAAGGCGTTAACGTTTATTTAGAACCATTGCTGTCACCCATTAGTGTTTTGTGGATTATCGAGGCGCTCTTTGGCAAAATTCAGATGGGCCGCAGTGATCTTTTTAGAGCGCAGTGGTTTTTTACTGGTTATCCTCTAAGGAGAACGGTTCCTGTGCAGTCTTTTCCTGATAGTTGAGGTATGAACTCTGCTATCACCTGCTGCAAGAGAGGCCTGAAAGTCCATAGATCATCAGTCCTGAGTTTTTTGTGACTTCCTGGATGATTTTTCAGCTTGCACTTGGGGAGATCTTGGTAGGAGGATTGGCCCTTGGTAGTGTCACTGTGAATTGAGTATTTTGTAGACATCTCTCTGACAGTGGAGGGAGCCCCAAATGTTAAGAAATTGATCTGTAAGCCAGACTAATGAGCTTCAGCTACTCTTTTTTTTTTTCCTGAGATCCCATGAAATCTATTTTCCATTATATTGGACACAGCTCTTTCAACTCAGTCCTTGTTTTACTTATTACTCAATTATCTAACCCCATGATTCTAATTATCCCCACAATTATGATAAGTCAACTAGAGGTTCACTTATTATTTAATAATACGTTACTTCCTGATTTTTTTCATACACCATTGAGTCACAAAAACATTAAATTGGTAAAAACAAACCCTTTTGGTAATTAAAAAAAAGACTGATATTGATTCAAAGTCCTAAACTTCAGCATTTATTTTGAAGATGAAAAAGTATATCTAGCCAGGTGTCTTATCGCAGGGTTAATGTAAAATAGTCCCAAGGGTGTCGTGTTAAGAAATGCAATTATCTGAGTTCAAAATCAAAGTCCAGAAACTTTATCTTGGCACTGTACATATAAATAGTTCAGAAGATACACCATGTAGTCAACCTGCAGCCTCATATCATCTGAGATCGGTTTGCCTAGAGAACACTCTTAAATCACTCTGGCAGCACGAAAAAAAAACTGCACTGAAAGGCAGCAGTGCTCATTGCTGCTTCAGCATGCCACCAAAACTGCTATCAGAAACAAAATTATAATCAGTTCTCCTAGAACCCAGGTTTGGGGAGCGGGTCATTCATTATACAGAAGACAAGCTTCACAGTGGACTTGAATAATCTTTTGACATTTTCTGACTCCAGAGACAAGCCCACTGCTGTGCACTGTACTTTAGGGTATTAACACATTGTAGACAATTCAATCTTAATTGAGGTTTTCCTTAGTCGTTTTGGTTATTCAGCAGAGCTGCCTGTCATTTGACTGACTTCATTCCTAGCGAGCCTCGTGTGTTCCACCCAAGCTCTCAGATGCAGTAGTGCGTTTAATGATTCAAAGAATAACATCCTGGAACTTTAACAGTCCTGATTTGGCCTGAATAATGGGGTCGGCAGCCCCACCTCACCTCATATTTCACCTCTGTGAGATAAGCGTCTTGGTACACACTTACAGGACATTGACCCAAAACTCTAAATAGAGTACAATATGCAGAGAACAAGAGGAACAGGGTGATCAGGTTGCCACCTGTCCTCCTATCTCTTGATTACTAAATATGGGCATTATAAAAAAAAACGTTGAGTTAAAAACCATTGGTGTGGATACCTTAACTTTTCCAACAAAGTAACCCATCTCACCCTGCAACTCGAAACTAGCAACTCCCTGAAGCTAAGCAGGTGTGAGCCTGGCCAGTACCTGGGTGGGAGACCTCCTGGGAAAAAATAAGGTTGCTGCTGGAAGAGGTTAGTGGGACCAGTTTGGAGTCCAGTTTGTGTGGGTCCTAATGCCCCAGTATAGTCATGGGGACACTATACTGTAAAAAAAAAGGATGCGACTTAAAACTGAGGTCCTGATTCTCTGTGGTCATTAGAAAATCCAGGGTTTTTCTCAATATCTTTGCCAGATCTCCTTTACCCATCATGACCTCCTAATAATCTCATGTATCAACTGGCTTCATTACTGTTTTCCTCCCCACTGGTGTCTGGTAAACATACAGGTGCACTCTGGCTGCTGTCACATCATCCAGGTGGGTGCTCCAAATTGGTGGTGGTGGAGGGGAGTCCCCATTACCTGTAAAGTGCTTTGAGTGGAATGTCCAGAACAGCACACTACATAAAATAAGGAATTACTATTACATTTCTAGAATATGCACCTACAAAAGTAAAAAGGCTGGGTTTGCAATGACCCCTTTTTCTTACATGGAGTATACAGTATTTGTAGTTATTTATCTTCACTAAGTTCTCAAACATTTTGTTTGTACAGCAGTAGAATATTAGTGTAATTTCTTTTGCATATATTATATTGTATATAAGAGCGAAAAATTCTTAGGAGAAAGAATACAGCAAAGAATGCAGCAACTGATTTGGTGACCATTTTTATTTTTGAATTGTGCTAAATTCAAACATTGCTTACCATCAATAACAATTTCCAGGACAGTGTCCGAAAACTGTTACGTCATTGGCGTTTAGACTGAACTATTTACATAGAGTGCCCTTAGCTGAAGCCATTACTAACAACAGTAAGAATAAACAATTATAAAAAATCATAAGAGTTCATCTTTACAATTTTGAAATAAACACTAATACATTACACAAATTAAAGATTTTAACCAAAAGAATTCAGCTGGTGCAAGTACTGCAAGATTGAACACATCGGTGATCTCTCCCGGATAAAGATGTTAACAACAAACAAAAAAAGGAACCAAAAACATACTGTATGCGTTATGTTAAGCTGAGACTACACAATGAATCAAGTGATCAGTTTCTGCTGCATTTTATTCCAGTGAGAAAGTGTATACTGATCCAGTATAACCTGATTTTTAATGAATATCCTAATTTTATTGAGACGTTTATTTTTTTTTTTGTGGTGCTTATGCCTAAATCCTAACAGGTTTCAGACGTTAATATTAATTGACCTCAGTAATTCCCATCCATTTGCATTTACACATTTGTTCAAGGTAATGCCTTTCTCTGGGCCAGTAATCAGGAAAGACAAATTAACCAGTTCTTCATCTTTCCATGTTTTTATTCCAGTCTTCCTACATACATATCTATTTTCCTGTATTCCCACATCTTGTACTGAACACTTCCTCACAACATTGTTCTTCAATGGATGTGACATTTATTAGTAAACAGTGTAACACTTTGCTTAATACTCCACATGGTTTGTCACATAGTAACTGTACATTAGGCGTCTTCACTGGGGAATACTGTAGAAAAGAGGAAGCCTATCTGTTTTGCAGGGGGGACGGTGGTGGGTGGGTGAGTTTCGGTACTCAGATTTTTTTCCTGTTCACAAACACCTTTATTGCACCAGTGAAATCTGCAGACAACAGCACCTCAGTGTGGTCAGTTTTCAGAGCACCTAAAAGATAAGGGAAAAAATACCATGCTACAGGCAAATACGAATATAACAGTTCCATATTATATTATTCCTGTTTGATCTTGCATGTTTAATTTAAAAGTGACCCCATAATCAACAAAAATAAGTAATACATTTACACTACAGCCCTTTTTGTTCCTGTAGAGCTTTAGAGGTAAGAAACCCACTTTATCCACCTTTGAACTGTATCATACAGCAGCCATCACCCATCAACATCTCAGCTATATGGTAAATATTTACCAAGGCAGACTGTGAAACCCTGAACTGACACTAGGATTTGAGATAGCATTAGGAGGTGTTTAATGATCACGTGTAGTCAGATGTCTGAAAAACAGTGTCCCCTACCATCATGCTGATTACAGTTCTGAAAAGACAGACATCCAGTGGTTCACTAACAGCACTTCCAGAAGAACATTGTTACCCATTATTTTCTGCCTGCCTAAGTTTGACCCAGAATCCAGGATGAAAGCAGTGTAGCATTTCATTTTGCTCTCCCATACTAAACTTGCTGTGTCATTAGCTAATAAGAAGATAGAATTAAGCTTCATTTGCTTGCTCCACCACATGCACATCCACACATTACAACAGATATATCCATTAAATGGAAAACAGGATACTTGACAGAGCCACATACACATACAGTACAGTATTGCAAACTGAAAGGGAAATCTCAGGTATAATGATGTCAGATTGTGTTAAAATAGAATACTTCTGCATTTCTGGTGTCCGGTTTTATTATTTTGTTGTTTACTTTGTGAACTGCATTAAATGCATGTAATCTAAGTTATATTTTACCCTCCTGATGCACAACGTTTTCTCAACAACAATGAGCCACCTTCATATCACTGCCTTCAGCTTGGGCATATCTGCTTGCCACTTATGAGACTCCTAAGCTCTGCTGGTGTGGAGTAAAAGGTTTTCTATCATACTTAGATATAAGAAGTCATCAGACTGGAAAGATGCACAGTGTTTTCTAAAGATCTGACATCAGTAGCTGATTGGGCAGTATGTACGTCGGAATAATGAAATGCGCATTTGAAATGGCACTGGCGATTCCAGAAGAGTGTTGGTAAAGAGACCTAAAAGACTTGAGAAGAGTGTTGAAGTGTAATATGGGCCCAGCTTTGCCTCACATTGATGCTGGATTCTCTGGAAAAGTGACAATAGAACTCAAATTCCTGCCAGGTAAGTTGGAACTCTGTTGTAGAAATCTAAAATGCTTGTATATGAATGCCTTTTATTTTCCTTTTACGAGAAAAGGTTTCCATATTTCAGAGAAAATATGTTTTTTTCCCCTTAAGTATACATCCTTATTATACAGGTTTTGAAATATTTTTTCATTATAGTATATGAAAACATTTCACATTTTCAGTATATAAAAATGTTGTGTATATCGGGAGTTTAGAAAAATAACTCAGATAAGACAGCTTTGCTTGTGAAAGCAAGTGGAAACACCCCTGTGTTTGTTGATTTTCATTCCAGGTCAGCTCTCACCTATTGTACTTAACTGAAAGACTGAAAGTTGAACTAATGACCTTATCAGACTATATGTGTTATTTTATTAAGCTCTTTACAGTACAGCCCTTATTGTTCAAAAGGTCCCTGAAGTGCTTTAGAAGTAAGAAAGTCACTTTATCCATCCCTGAACTGTATTGTGAGGTTCCTCTTTTTTTATTTTTAGCCAGACTGATATGTCTTTTCCAGAAATATCATGGATCAAGAAGACTAATCATCCAAACACTTTCATGAAAACCAACACAGGAGTACTTCCACCTGTTTTCACAAGCAAGGCTGTCTTATACTGTGAAATGTTATCATATACTGTATCATATACTGTACTGTATTTAGTAATGGCTGCTGTATGATGCAGCTCAGGGGTGGATAAAGTGTATTTCGGACCTCTAAAGCACTTCACGAACCTTTTGAACAAAAAGGGAAAAGACTGGACTGTAAATAAATTCAGAGGTCTTCAGCTGTTGAAAGACTTGTTAAACAAATAAAGGATTTCTAAAGGAAATCATTCATATAAGGGTTCTGTTAAGCAATTTTAAAATAGTGACACATTTCACGGTTTCTTTTTCTGCATTATTTTTATCATATACTTACTTTTTTGTATATTTAGCCCGACTGAAATGTTAATTTTCCAGAAAAGTCACATCACCCAAACACCGTCTTGACATTTTTAGATTTTGTTCTTTGCCAGCTCCCTGAAATCTTCTACAGATCAAATGCACTGCAACTGAATGTCGCTTAGAAACGTGCCGACACACCACGCACTAGCACTATCGGATTCTCAGACTTACCTGAAGGGATGCTTTCGTTTTCAGCTGTTTCTGCGTTTTTGCACTCTCCCTCCGGTCTCTCTGTGGCCACATCTGGTGACACGATCAAGCTGGGGTTTGGTGCAAAGATAGCTGATGTCACTACTGCATTGTGGGCTGCAGAAAAGATCAAGACAAAAATGTTAATTTTTGATATTCTCTTATTCTGGGCTGCTCTGGCTTACTCTCTCTATAAACGTCTATGTGTTATCCAAAGGGTAATCCTTGTGACATCACACAAAAAGAAGGGAGGCAGCCATGTGCCCATTTCTGTTCCTGTTTGACTCTGGGAGCAGGGAATGACTGGATTCTCTTGTATGTGTACTGTATGTGGATTCAATGGGGAACCAGGAACACTATCAAGGAAAAAGTCATGACCTCACAGGAAAATTTCCATATTCACATTAAATCTAGTCAGCTTTTTAATATGGGCAATATTTAAGTAAAGTATATTGGGCAGTGACCTTATCTTATTACCAACATATGCTAAATAAATAGCATACTTCTGTCATTAAATAGAAAATACTTTAATTACCTTTGATTCCCTCCCAGAAGTCATTGCGATCTCGCCGGACGGAGGTAAATTTACTCAAGTCATGGTATGTACTCCAAATGTATACATATTTATCCTCAGAGCCACTGATTATGAACGAATAGTCATGACTAAAAGAAGAAAGGAAAAGGTTGAAGATTGGTTTTGTGAGTCTCTAACAGTCATCCAAACAAAAACAAGGTAGGTTTTGAAGATTAATCCACCTTACCTGAAACTGGCTTTGATTTGACTGCTACTGTTGACATACCCCTTGTATTTCATGGAGAGGGACAGATCCCTTAGGTCATACAGGCGGATTCTGGAATCATTTGAGGTCACTAAAATCTAAGGGGCACAAGAATATACAGTTCTATAACACATTGTGTACTTATACAGCTCTGATATACTTCTTCCATTTCTGAGGGCACGTGCAGTTAGAATGCTCCCTGCTGCATGCTTCATTTTTCCCTACACCCAGTCTGTGGCTCACCAGATGAAACACCTAAAGACTACCATAAAAGGCAGCTTCAGCCTGTGTCATCACAAGACTCACAGCCTGGAGGGGAGGGGAGGCAACCACTGGGCCTTATTCCCCCAGAGATTATTTTCTGTCTTTGCAAATTGTTTTTTTAATCTGTGCCTGAAGACTAATATACATATCTAGCCTGTTAAGAGCTTTGTAGCAACTCACTGTGAAAGGTGCTATCATAAATAATGTGATTGCATTTCCTCACTAATAAATAAAGCAGCAATAGAGTTTTGCGGCCCCTTTCTAATAGCAAATAACGCACAAGTGGGGGATAGCAACAGATTTAGGGTGTATTTTATATGATGTATCTTAAAAGTCCTTATTAGACAAATATATTTCAACATTACAATTTCTAAGGTTAAACAAAATATGCATCTCTCGATGGTAAATAGGTGCTGCATGTATTAGACTCTTTTTAGATACTCCGCTCCTGGAACTGTTGACACAGTTAATATTGTACTAAATGCTTTTATTTCCTCATCAATACATATCCCTTGTGTTTTTTTTTCTCTTCAGTGCATTGACACGCCCACTAATTCTCCAACTATGACAAGGTAGTGGGGGAGCTGAAGTCTATCCCGTCAAGCAATGGGTGCAAGCAGGGCCAGATATTGGTTTTTCGTAGGCCCAAGGCCCTTTCATTCCGAAATGTGCAAAAAGAGGTAAACGCCAACTGAATTACGTCGATCGACATGATGCACTTTAAACTATTCTAATGCTAAACCACGTGATTGATGGAGAGACCATCCCTTCGATACTTCTCGTTTCTAGAACAGCCGCTAGATAGCGAATGATTATTGATTTGGAGCACCTAGAGTCGATCGCAAGCATGTCGTTTCAGCTCGTTTTTTTTCCGTTAGTCGCTAGTGTTTCCCTCCTTCGTAGGCTCTAGTAGGCCCTGTAGGCACAGTGCCTAATGGGAAATCCGGGACTCTGGGCGCGAGAGAGGATACACCCCGGACAGGAAGCCAGCCCATCTGAGGGCACACACAGACACAAACATTCACTCAAACTGGTGGAAGGAAACCAGAGAACCCGGAAAAAAACCCACACAAACTTGGGGAGAACATACAAACTCAATGCAGATACAGTAGCATCCCGAGAACTGAACCCAGTGCCCCAGTGCTGCAAGGTAGCAATACTAACCACTGTGCCACCGTGCTCCTAAACTCTAATCCAATTCTCCTTAAACTACTGTACATTTTTGTGTAGGCTGTAAATCCTCCACTGTTTTACTGCAAGCTTTTGTAACAGTATGGAGTACTGTAAAATTCGATTTTTTTGGACTGAAGAGGGTGTTGTCATTTAAAGAAAACACTAAATAACATGTTGTAATCTCTATTTTCATGGCCATCCGCTTTCACATTCCCAGCAGAGTTGACAAATAATACTGAAACGATACCTTGTTCTCTCCAGGTAATGGCTCAATACCAGTGATTTTTCTGCCCACTCGGTTTCTTCCTCTTGTAGATCTTACATGAATCTGAGTGTGGTATTTAAGATGCTGAAAAACACAGGCCACTCATTACATGGAAAGCAATTTCATACTTTTTAATACAGAGCTGTTTCAGAGAACAATAATGCATTGCTCACTTCTTTTAGATATAGTTTAATTTATATTTTAAATGACCACGTTATATGGCACAAAACTGAAAAGTGAGAAACTGATATTTCGGACACTTAAAAGCATGGTCCGCAAACATGAAAAAGGATCTGGTCAACAGTGATGTACAAACGTGGGAAGAAGAAACAAGAAGACAAAAAGGGAAAAGCCCTTCTTTACACGAGGGTTGTGGGTATCGGGGACAAATCTACCCAGACATGTTGTTAAAACCAATATTTGTTCCAATAAAGATCAGCTGGATGATATCATCTACTCGCAAACAAAAATGCTAGATCAGCCAAATGACCTCCTCTCACTTATATCCTGTCTTTTGATGAGACAAGCCATGATATGTTCTCCAGCATTCTTGTTGCAATGAGTGGAGGAACAACTGAAACTAAAAGTGTAATTGAACACTTAATACTCCTGAACTCAATATTACAATATTGCCTCCATATCCCCATGATCTTTCTAGGTGAACAGTTTAGTCTGTTTATTCCACCTATCCAGAGACTACAGTTATTTGATAATGCAGGTTCCTACCAAAAACACATAAGCAGTGTAGATGACTGCTCATGATGTCATATTAACAAAGGGAGTTTTTCAACAACAGCTCACAAACGTAAAAGTACAGAAATACTTTAACCCTCAATGCTTAATGATTTTCTAAATCTAGGTTTATATAATTTTTTAAATGAAATTCCAATTTGAGCTCACAGTTTCCATGTTGTATCTCGACAGAACTGTACATGTGATGGATCTGTCATCTTTAGATTTCTCTTTTCCCAGTTTCACCGGTGACGTTGTTCTTTTAAGGCCTCCTGGTTTTTGAAAATGCATCCTGTTAGTAACTTTACCTCTGTGTCGTAAAATATGCATCGTCCGTCATACGTCCCAATGACAGCGTACTTTCCATTCTGACAGAAGTTGGCGGCTGTGATTAGCCTGGTCTGACCGTCCACCTCGTTCCACAGTGCCACCTTCTTGTCAGGAATATTCCACAGACGGAGCTTCCCGTCCAGAGACCCACTCAAGAAGTACCGGTCATCCTTTCAGAGGAAGGACACAATACATATCATATCACACAACTGTGAAACTTTAACTGTCCCACTTGCAAGATATCCCAAGATAGGTGAAACTTTATTTCTGTACAGGTTATACTTTCTGTGCAACCTATGCTATGAATGTCAACATAATGTCTTCATAAAATACACGTAAATGTCAAACTTGCTATGGAAAACCTGCCACTCATTTATAGAAATTAACTTAAACTCTTATTCTTAATTAAAGGTATATAGCAAATATACAACAAAAGCCAATTCTTACATTTATTTCTCAGTTTCATAACAGAAAGTGGAAGGATCCCAGGTAAAATGTATTTGTGAAATGAGACACAGACTTTGAATACTCCTAATTTAAACTTCAGTCCCAGCTTCAAACCTAGGCTGACTGACATTCCTGTGGTTTTATAGATCTCTAATTCCTTCATCACTTAAAATCCTAATACTAAAGATAATTTTAACCAAGTCAATAAATTCAATTAATAAAATTTTCATATAAAACAAAAAACAAAAGCTCTCTAGGACCTGAGCTGCTACAGCATCAATGATATTAGTTCACCTGTGACAGACACAATCAAAAGAGAAGTTCTAGAAGCAAAAGCAAATGAATGAAACGGACACAGGGAATTGAAACGAGTTTCAAAACTAAAATGGATTAACTAACACAAATTTATTTATCAGTTGTGGTTTAATTATATAGAAGCAATTAACATTTTGAGGTGAAATACTTACTCTTGGATGAAACGCAATAGCAGTGACAAAGTCAATGTGCTGAAAGCAGCACAAGCATTCTCTCCTCGATATGTGCCACAATCTCACTGTCTTGTCCATCGATGATGAGAGCAAGAAATAGTTCTGAGGAAGCAGGAAACATTTATTTTACAGGTCTTGTCCAAATAGACAAATGAACACATAAGAAATGGTTGGAAGTTCAATAAATATTATTGTAGCAAACACGTATATAGCACAGATAGCTTTAACAGCAATTTTCAAACAGAATGTCTTGTTTGATAATGCTTTGGAAACAAGTTCTTCAGGTCATTACAGAACGATCTGTACAGGAAAACAATGTTTAATTGCCACAAACAGCTGTTGACAAAGGGATGAGATAAGTTATGGCAGGTCACTACCACAGACTATAATAAATTGCTAAAATCCTTTGTTCATACTGAATGCATTTTTCTCTTGCTCCTAGATAAGCTAGCAGCCACCGTGATAAATTCTATCTTATTAAAAGCAGCTACAGAAATACTTGTTTTATTAACACTGCACAGTGTAAGTTCAATCACACCACTGTGGATACTGTTAAAGTGCACTTAAGTTCAGAGAAAACTGTAAATACTGCATTTCTACATTCATTCCCTTTTCCATTGTGAAATTCATGCAATAGGCACAAAGATGTAGATGGAAAGGAGAAAGATTTTGGAAAATCTATTCCAGATCCATGCCCTGCACATACTGTACACATAGCAGGTGTTTTGGGGCATCTTTTCAGGGAAAAAAGCTTGCATTTGTTTCAAGGACTTTCATATTTTGAAAATTTACAGAAAAAAATGATATATTAACCTGCAGCCAATGAAAATACATTTCCAAGTTTAGTTTTTTTATCTGTTTATCTGATCTTGAACACAAGCTACAGTGTGTGTATATACTGTAACAGTATATGCAATTTGTGAAATATCTATATTCTTGATTGTCAACCAATCTGTCCCATGTGTGATAAATGGATGCATCAGGACACAGATAAGGGTTTGGGGGGGAAACATTAGGACACACTATGCAGATGTGTAGCATGCATTTCATCTCTGCTGACAAGCATTGTTATTATTAAGTAGCAGCCCATTAAATAATTTTCTTAATCACATAACCAAGCAGTTTAGCGAGCACAGAATTTTTAGAAGAAATTTTCAGTCATCCAATATTCTATGTCCCTGCATGAAAAAAAAAAAGTTTCCAGAGAGGAATCATATTGAATAATCATAACCATTTCTTTATATCAGGAATATAGATAACAATTCAAGGTTGTTTCGATGCAAAATTATCAGGGCATTACAAGCAGATGTAATGCACAGGACAAATGTCCTCGTCAGTGCTCTCACATGCAAAGAAGACTGAGCTAACTGTGCCATCTGGCCCAGACTGGACAGCTACAAAATTAACTTTTGCCATGAGCAGGCTCAATTCCAAGATCAACAGAAACCTGATTAGTGGAACACTTGGTTCACATTAGGTGCGTCACAGATTACTTAAGGAGCAGACGCTCCATTCTGTCTAATCACTGATTAAGTCAAAACTACCAGTTTGATAAGTGGGGCTGCAAGTCCAAGATAAAGTTAACAAAGGCTGCAGAAGCTACCGGCAATTGGAGGTACCTTCATCACAGTAAATCTACAGTACCTTTGGATTTTGGTAAAATGACGTTACATGTTCTGAAACTCATTCTGTGTAGGGCTTTAGTATACTTACGCAATAGGGTACATATTGTGTTCCGTTTTGACGAGGCTCTTTATCACCTGATTAACCACACCATAACTGTCTTATGAGGCCAAGGAACAACACCCATGCTACAAGGAAATTGGATCTCTGTATCCAAGTGTTATGCATCATCCACAACAGCAGATACAGTGCCTTGCGAAAGTATTCGGCCCCCTTGAACTTTTCAACCTTTTGCCACATTTCAGGCTTCAAACATAAAGATATAATTTTTTTATTTTATGTGAAGAATCACCAACAAGTGGGACACAATTGTGAAGTGGAACGAAATCTATTGGATTTTTGAAACTTTTTTAACTAATAAAAAAATGAAAAGTGGGGCGTGCAAAATTATTCGGCCCCCTTGCGTTAATACTTTGTAGAGCCACCTTTTGCTGCGATTACAGCTGCAAGTCGCTTGGGGTATGTCTCTATCAGTTTTGCACATCGAGAGACTGAAATTCTTGCCCATTCTTCCTTGCAAAACAGCTCGAGCTCAGTGAGGTTGGATGGAGAGCGTTTGTGAACAGCAGTTTTCAGCTCTTTCCACAGATTCTCGATTGGATTCAGGTCTGGACTTTGACTTGGCCATTCAAACACCTGGATACGTTTATTTGTGAACCATTCCTTTGTAGATTTTGCTGTATGTTTGGGATCATTGTCTTGTTGGAAGATAAATCTCCGTCCCAGTTTCAGGTCTTTTGCAGACTCCAACAGGTTTTCATCCAGAATGGTCCTGTATTTGGCTGCATCCATCTTCCCCTCAATTTTAACCATCTTCCCTGTCCCTGCTGAAGAAAAGCAGGCCCAAACCATGATGCTGCCACCACCATGTTTCACAGTGGGGATGGTGTGTTGAGGGTGATGAGCTGTGTTGCTTTTACGCCAAACATATCGTTTTGCATTGTGGCCAAAAAGTTCGATTTTGGTTTCATCTGACCAGAGCACCTTCTTCCACATGTTTGGGGTGTCTCCCAGGTGGCTTGTGGCAAACTTTAGACGAGACTTTTTATGGATATCTTTGAGAAATGGCTTTCTTCTTGCCACTCTTCCATAAAGGCCAGATTTGTGCAGTGTAAGACTGATTGTTGTCCTATGGACAGACTCTCCCACCTCAGCTGTAGTTCTCTGCAGTTCATCCAGAGTGATCATGGGCCTCTTGGCTGCATCTCTGATCAGTCTTCTCCTTGTCTGAGCTGAAAGTTTAGAGGGACGGCCAGGTCTTGGTAGATTTGCAGTGGTCTGATACTCCTTCCATTTCAAGATGATCGCTTGCACAGTGCTCCTTGGGATGTTTGAAGCTTGGGAAATCTTTTTGTATCCAAATCCAGCTCTTAACTTCTCCACAACAGTATTACGGACCTGCCTGGTGTGTTCCTTGGTCTTCATGATGCTCTCTGCGCTTTCAACAGAACCTTGAGACTATCACAAAGCAGGTGCATTTATACAGAGACTTGATTACACACAGGTGGATTCTATTTATCACCATCAGTCATTTAGGACAACATTGGATCATTCAGAGATCCTCGCTGAACTTCTGGAGTGAGTTTGCTGCACTGAAAGTAAAGGGGCCGAATAATTTTGCACGCCCCACTTTTCATTTTTTTATTAGTTAAAAAAGTTTCAAAAATCCAATAGATTTCGTTCCACTTCACAATTGTGTCCCACTTGTTGGTGATTCTTCACATAAAATAAAAAAATTATATCTTTATGTTTGAAGCCTGAAATGTGGCAAAAGGTTGAAAAGTTCAAGGGGGCCGAATACTTTCGCAAGGCACTGTACTATCCCATTTAAAAAACACAGAAACACCATGCATCTTTCTGCTACATGTTCTTTCACCAAGTCTGTCGGACTGTCTGCCATCTGATCCAAGATGGATGACAAATTACTGAGGGCAGCACACGGATAGTCCTTCCCCAACCTTCACTAGCGCCCGACTTGAGTCTTCAGCCTTTTTTATTCGGCAGATTCTTCAGCTGACAGGTTTATTGCTGCATGTCGCAAAATTGCAATATGGTCTAGCAATCAAGCAATGGAAACGTTGATTCAACATCTTGATACATAGAAGGGTGAAAGAAAATATTGCATGTGGATGTGACAGATGAATTTGATGCACCTGATTCCAATTAAGATTGTTTGTAAGTATGTAGAGAGCACAGGAGAAGCTACTGTATCTCCTGGTAAGATCAAGTTTGAGTAGCAGCAACTGTAACAGTATTGTTGGATCACTGCTTGCTCAATTCAGAAATGTCTAAACTTCTACTGTAATATCGTGAAGGTATACAGTAATCAGGTTATTTTTAGGGGTGTGAGGGGAGAAGCAGGGTTTGCTTTTTTTACCAATACATTTCATGACCCCCAAAAAGCTCAGTATCCAGAGGCTACTTACATTGGTTACATTGGATAAGGAAGAGGGAACTCTCAGGAGCAAGGAGTAACTGCCGACTCAGCCTGAAGGAACCTTATACAGTTTTGGTTGACAAAAGGGGAAACTGGGCAGACAAAGTGGGTTACGGACCAAATGAGGGTGTGAAGAACTTCATTACAGTTCCCTCAGCCCCAGCCCCAAGGTTACATTCCACTCTGGAGTATAAACAGTGAGAGGCCTGACTATCAGATGGTTAATGACAGTAAGTTGTTCTCCACTATACTAACAGTTAAGGGTGCACTAGAAATCTGAAATACAGTGGCCTTTCCTTCGCTACACTGAAAGACACTTTAAATATATTTTGCTTTTGTATTGTTTAATCAGTCTGCCTTCTATTAAGGTGCAATCAATAGCTGTAAGGCTATTTGTCTAAATAAAGGCAAACGTCTTTAAATCGAAAAGAAAGGTACTTTCCTCCAAAGGTTCAATTACATTTTTAAATTTCTGTTCTTTGTGCAGACAGGGGTAAGTGTCTTTCTATTGAGACAGGAATATCTCAGTCTTTGATACAATAAAAAGGAGATAACTGAAATTCACAGGCTTTGTGAAAGACAGGACCAAGGATCAAAGCGTGAATTTGCACAAAAAAGGACTGTTATTGACTATGTTGTAGCCACAACCACTTATTCTCAACCAAATTAAAAGGTAAATGAATAAAATCTAACCAGAAACTTTCACAAAAACAGAATCCTACATAAGATACTTAACATTACTCTTTGTTCTATCAGCACATTACCAGCTTTTCTAATTATGCCTTCAAGACATATTTGTTTTTGAATAGTAACTACTCAGTGACACAAAAATGTGTTTTGAAATGACACTGGAAATGGAAAATAAGCACTTTTTCCCTTATTTTTCTAAAAGAAGGCATTTTTCCTTTTTACTTAACAGGACAAACATATAGGAGACTTGTTTCTAAATGTATTGTTTGGGTTTGTTTTTTTTTAAAGCAACCTTGTTTATTTTAGGAACAAGCAAAGGTTTATTCCATGCTGACAAGAGAAAATATTACTTAATTTCAGCATGTTTTACCAGCTCAACAATTGTATAATGAAATATATGAAAATGACAACAAAAGCATGAGTTCATATTGCATATTAATATGGAAATGTCTCTGCAATGTCAGAACTTGCTGTTTGGCTTCAGGCAAGTTCTTCAAGCTAATTCCACTTTGTTTAACTAGTTGAACCAATTGGAGTAAACAGACATGACTAGAAGTAGATTATCGTATTTGTCGCCAATTGCTTCACCTTTGTAAGCTGGAAACAGCACAATACTCCAACCGGACAAAACCTTCTAAGGTTTGGTAGGAAGTGTAACATACAGTGCCTTGCGAAAGTATTCGGCCCCCTTGAACTTTTCAACCTTTTGCCACATTTCAGGCTTCAAACATAAAGATATAA